GTTTTTTTGTCGTTGCTTTGTGTACGCGCCACCTGGTCTTTTTTCCTGGGTATAACCAACTATTGAAAGAAATGAATCACTTTTGTTAAACCAAATGGGTGTCCGACTCAAAAATTGCCAGAAACATATTTTATTGAACGATGCATCACTAACTTTAAGGCCTTGTTCGGACTAGGCGAGTATTTTAGCTGAGTACCGAGTAATTTAGTAGCTAAATGTGTCTGAGCACCAAAAATTTAGTTGAGTAGGTTCGTAAACAATTTAATCAAGTCAATCCATTTTGTTCTATTTTTTCGGGCCAGTAGCGAGTAGTCTAGCCACTAAATTACTCGGTACTCGACTAAAATACTCGCCTAGTCCGAACAAGGCTTTAGTACTAGATAAAATTGAACTGTCGTGTATTATTAACCTTATTATTGGAATTGAATTCGTAAATGTAAACTGTCGCTACAATTTAATCGTTAATAAAATACATTGTACATATTGTCTCACGTGCCGAAAAATGTAAGTATCTACACCGGATGTACATACTCAATAAAAGACTTACCAACCTACCTACTTACTTACAACATGATATTAATATTTGAAAGCCGTCAGAGTACAATATACAAAAAAAAATTAAAATCGAAATAAAATTTAAACAAAATTAGTGGTGACATCACAAGTAAAAAAAGAATCCACATCTCTTGACAAGTATTACTTACTACATAGGTATATTATCTAATCAATAATGCCAACGAGTGAGTAACATAAAAACATCTATTAAATAAACTGAAATCTTTACCCAGCAGCATTGGATAATTTCACTGTGATCTGTTATTTAAAACATGTCGAAGATGTTTGTAACATATATGTAAATTTTATCAATGTGATCCTTATGGTATCTATCACAGAGTCAGTAATGGCATGTGATGAATGACATCTGATGTACGCGTGACGGTGAACACGCGCTGTAGGGACCGAGGTCGTCGCACCCTTCGTCCCTCCAAGCCTTGGCACCTGGTCGCGCGCTGAGCTGTTACTGGCAACCAGATGTTCTACTCTCGGAAATCTCTTCGAATTACCCATTGTATTCTATTCAAAGAAATATAATTTCATGTTGTCTAAAGTAGACGCTACCAATCAGAACTCAATAGTTTATCATAAAAAGTGAAGGAGCACATAAATATGCAATTATAGCAATGTTAACAGCAATCATTAAGCGAACCATTAACAGGAAAATTAACACTTTCTATAATGAGTGAAGGATTTGAAATCATTTTTTTATTGCTTAGATGGGTGTAGTACGAACTTATGCAGTTTTTTACGGAAACGCATTACTGCCTCACATAGGAATAGGCAGGTTGGTGGCGGTACCTATTCAGGCGGATTCATAAGATGTCCCACTACCCGTACACAACCAATACAGACAAGACAGTCTCGCCTAAAATTTCTTTTCCCCAGTGAAACCTTAAATTGCTTTGCAGTTTCTGTACAAAACATTAAATGTAAGTCCTGGGTACATAATTCTTTGCTCATACAATAAACATGGACGATTGGCGGCATCCCATAAAGGCGTAAAACGGTAGTAAACATAGAAAATGAACGTAGGAATTATGTGATGTTTTTATGAAGGCTGGCACCGTTTACGACCCTTAAGAATGCCGCATCCTTAGCTTCTATAATGGAAAGGGNTTCTTTGCTCATACAATAAACATGGACGATTGGCGGCATCCCATAAAGGCGTAAAACGGTAGTAAACATAGAAAATGAACGTAGGAATTATGTGATGTTTTTATGAAGGCTGGCACCGTTTACGACCCTTAAGAATGCCGCATCCTTAGCTTCTATAATGGAAAGGGACGGACATTTTTGAATGGGGAAAATTGAGGGTTGCTATAGAAGCAAACAACTGTATATGTGGAGTCAATGAACGCAACACAACCCATGACATAAAAGAATGTTTAATGTAGAATATAGTTTTACACCACAGTTGATATTTGGATTAAATATCTCTTTTTTGTTTTTTTAATTACTTTTGTAAACAAAACCGCATACGGCCTAGCTGGTAGTAATTAATGGTTACTGTCGCTGATAGTTGTCAGAAATACCAGAGATACAGCCAAGTTGCTGTATATACCTTTGAGTACTCTCAGCTCAATGATCAATAAGTACGTTAAAGCAAACATAATAATTAAGTATATTATTTTAGAATTGTCTAACAAGTACTTGCTCTGTTGAGGAATAATAATAAAAGAGGAATTCGTAATCTATAGGTAAAACGTAATCACTGCAAGACATTTACCAATTCTGAATATTTTTAAGCTAACATGTTAAAGTGACATGGTTCCGCGGAGGAATTTGTGCCATTCGAGTTTGCGAACTTTAATCATGTACAGAATTAATCGAATAACCGTATCGTTTTAGTGGCACTTTGCAAATCAACACTTTCTTGCCAAACGACAAACTGACCTTTAAGTTAATAATCTTGACGAATGATAAATTAAATGATACCATTACTGAAATACAAAATAAACAAAAGCGACGCTGTTTGTTTTTAATTTTACTGCAGTGTTTACATTGGTTAATAAAATTAATATGCAGGTGTTTCACTCTACGCTTGCTCACTTTATAAAATTTATTTAAGTAATAATGTGTTCGGCGTGTTATTAATATCATTGTTTGTTAACAATCTACGATTCATAACGTACAGGAAATAATTTGTGTGTAAATAACATGTGATCTTATGAATTCGTGCTTAATTACCTTTTTATTATGTCGTTGTACATTTAACATCTCTTCTACCTTCATATAAAAATATGTTAGGTACTCAGTGATTTGTTTGCTAAAACAACAACGCATTAAAAATGAATTAGGTACGCCTTGGTAAATGCCATTTAAATTGATATTGCATCTAAACACTCTACCAACAAATAAAAAATTAGTCCTCTAATCTTAATTGCGAATTAGTTTTCTCGGGTAGACTTTTGGTTGAAAGCGCTTGAAAGCTTTTTTTTTTGTTCGTTAAAGGTCACAAGCTTATTCCGCTAAGGTCACGTTGTGCAGGTATTTTATTGCTTCACTCTACAACGCAGCGATCCAACAACCCAAGGCCATAATTCCTTTTGTATACTTTTTGGCGTTCTAAAATAATAATTGTCTAACTAGTAGTAGATGTTACATATAGAAATTTTGTCATAAAACGATTTGGTATGTTGGGATATAAGAATATAATTAAGGTTATGTGTAGGGTTATCTTTTGAAAACATTTTAGGTTGTTGGGTAAGTCTATTATGATTCTTTCAAATTGGTTCCATAGACATGTGTACCTGAATACATAGTTCTCGGAAATGTAAACTATCATATTTTATTTACAAGGTATATATATAATCCCATATTCGAACTTTTCAAATTGTTCTTGGAATATTAATGCCTAAATGACCTTGCTGATGAACTGGTTTATCGTTTGCAATTAATTTCAATCTTGAAACAGGACATTTAGTTGGAAAACGATTATGTTTGGAAACTAGGGACGTTCGATAAAATGAAAAATTCTTCAACTGACGATTCATTAAGTAACTTTAATTACTTCCGTTTCGCGCGCGGTGTACCCTTCCGATGCACAGTTGGTTACCTTTAGTTTTAGTTTGTTCCACTCATCGCCGCGTCTAGACAACAATATTGCATGTTATTCAATTATTTTCACATTTTTATCGAACAAAATGGTACCTACATACTTTAGTTAAATGTAAATAAACTATATTTTATTTAATAATTAATTGTTTACGAATCAAAATATTTTAACATAAATCAACTCACACAGTAGAACAAATCTTCCAATGCGCTTGAAGGAGGCACAGTTCCCAAGATACTGGCTACATTAACTCGTTGGACAGCCAGACTCACTCTCTGTGCAAAGTACCAGCCAGCCTTAGCATCACGTGTAACCTCCTTCAAGCGTTTGATTTCAGATTGTCTGGTTAAGTAAGTAAAGCAATTTTAAGAAGTTTACATCACTAGCACTGGCCGCCCAGCCTAGTTATGTTTCTCGCGTTCGACCATCGTCGGTTGTGCAATGGCACGGTTTGCCGACACTTGCTCATTGTGGCCAGCTCGAATTGTTGCTCAACAAGTTTGGCTTCTTGTCGTCTAATTACAAAGTTTTTATTAGGTTATGATATAAATTTGATATTCAACTCGTTCGCGTTTATAATTTCAAACGTTATTGTTAAATAAACATTATGGATGATCGTTGACATTGCAATTTTCGAACGCACTGCATATTTTACCTTGTAATCCCTGGCTTAGACCTTGCGTCATAGAATCATTACGTGTTTTCCTACGTACTTTTCATCTACGTACCCAGAAGCTATTAATCATTCCAATGAAATTAAATAAGTACAAATTTACTGTTCAATATGGAGATTTATATGTATTGTAAATAACAGCGTTCTTTGGAAGCGTTGTTTATTATACTAAGGCTATGCTAATCGTTAAGATTGCATTAGAGATATGCTTACTTGCAAATGAAAAATCATGTGTATAATAAAACAACAAGCCCTGTTGTACCCTCCTGAAACTGTATTTTATCACTCAAATCCTTCGTACTGAGTTTTTCTATTTCCATTGTTGATAGTAACTAGTTACTGTCGCCCATGGACATCAGCAAAGCAGTTGGCACAGCCAAGCCGTTGCCCACCAGTGAGAAGAGTATTCGGAGTATTATTATCATAAAATAGAACCATTACACAATATGTGAAATAATTCTACCAGCACATTAATGTTTAATATAATATTTTCTTTTGTTTCAGGACCGATTAGCTAAACCTAAAATACAGTTCCTACCCGGAAATGAAGGGGTAAGTTCGATACTATAATATNCAGTTGGCACAGCCAAGCCGTTGCCCACCAGTGAGAAGAGTATTCGGAGTATTATTATCATAAAATAGAACCATTACACAATATGTGAAATAATTCTACCAGCACATTAATGTTTAATATAATATTTTCTTTTGTTTCAGGACCGATTAGCTAAACCTAAAATACAGTTCCTACCCGGAAATGAAGGGGTAAGTTCGATACTATAATATTATTTTGCAATTTTTTTTCAATTATACCATATAAAAAAAAATACAAGCTCATACTAGTAAATAATATTGCAGAATAGCAAATTAAACGGTTAACATTGTCCCCGCGATATCACATACTTAATATATGTTAATGCAGTTTCCTTGCTTCTATTTAGCACAAATGAAAATATAATATCGTAGAGGTCGATGCTCCTTACAGAGAGAGAACCATTCGGTTCTGTAACTTACAGGTAACGTTTTTTGCCGTAAATTCGTTCGTGTGTCAAGTTCAGTGTAAGGTTTCGTATTATCTGTTTGCCATATCTCTGCCGCAACTAACGGCGCGTGTCGACATGAAAGTAATCGTCGATTTGTACAAATTCGAAAGATGTTAAACATTCGAATCTTAAATGTGTATTATTTTTGAAATTTCTAACCGCTTGCACGTAATAATGCATGTACTTATGCGGATGAGTTTACATAACTCAATGACCTTATCAATTCGGACATTTGAAATGAACATTGAGAAATGTAATTTTAGACAGTCTTGTTAGATGTGAATTCTGTAATGTTTCATATTACACGCTTTATTGCGTCAGCAGACAAATGTTGGTGTTTTCCTTGTCCGCGGAGATGGCTGTATTAACATCTAACACAGAAGTTTTCTTCAATTTTTTTTTTATTGCTTAGATGGTTGGGTTAGCTCATAGCCCACCTGGTGTTTAGTTATTACTGGAGCCCATAGACATCTACGACGTAAATGCGCCACCCACCTTGAGACATAAATTCTAAAGTCTCAAGTATAGTTACAACGGCTACCCCACCCTTCAAACCGAAACGCATTACTGCTTCACGGTAAAAATAGGCGGGGCGGTGGTACCTACCCGCGCGGACTCATTAGAGGTCCTACCACCAGTAATTCCTGTATATAATTAAACACGAACTTGCACCATTATATCGCACGACATTCACGTTTATATGGGAATCCTTTACAGTCATAGATAGACTAGTTATCTCTGTTTGACTCGTGATCTACTCAGTTGACAATTTGAAGGTTAGGCCATTGAAGAAGTGTCCTAAGCTGCCTTCCGAAGTCTGGGGCCTCTTCGTCGTTCGGGCCTTGACTCGCCTCGAGCGTACCAGTTAACGCTTGCGGCACTCGATACGCTTGCGAAATAATATGATGACCCACTTTGTCGATTTCGATTTGCGCGTAATGGTGCGATCGGTGATCTACTAACGTTTTTTTACCTAAAACTTTTCTCGCGACAGCGGCTGCTCCCTTTCCCTTCACGCATGTCGACATTTTTGTCAGTGTAATTTTAAATATGTACTTGATACCATAAATCTCGTCATCAGAACAAACAAGATCGCATTTGTTTTTTGCAAGACAAACTTTTGTACGCATTTGTGGATAGCCTAATTTCTGAATAAATAATTTAAAGTAATCTTATCTTAAAAGTGGTCACGTTATTATGCTACATTAGAAAAAAAAAATTAAATTCAATTCGACCATTTGAAATTAAGGATATCCGGCCTTAATAAGTTTAATGCCTAAAAGTATAAATTAAATATTTAACAAAACAACGATATTGATAGCAAGGCACACTTAAACTTGTTCGAACCGATTCAATAAAACGAATATCACTGAAAATATAATTTCATCAACACTATTATGAGCTGCCTTCAAGTCGATGTTAAAGACATCATCATGAATGTACATTCAGTTATGGTATTTAGGCAACAGTATTCATCGCAAAAATGAAGCAAATACAATAATGTTTACAAAGTGATAATACCCGGTCGATCCCCGCGTCCGACGGCAGGCGCCTCCGACCGGTTTGCTTGTTGCCACCGCTCGCCTCGCCTGCCGCCGGTTTGACGTGATCTCTTCTCTTGTTGCTCGTCGAGTCACTTGCCCGTATCATATGTAAACGACCTCGACAGCCTTATTCAAAATCTAACAAACATGTCGTGTTTAACTTTATCCCGCTTCCTGTAAAATTGACAATGATTTTTTTTAAATCTTGACATTAAATATCAAGGTGCACTACTTACATAATTTAGTTCATTTGACATTGGTCACGATGAAATGAATTTCGTGTAAATTTAAGAATTCATGCCACGGTTTTGTGTGCGATATTGATTGATATTTGTTCACTATTCTGCAACATTTATTTTTCACCATCACGCTATTGTTTTTGTTACGTTTTGAAACTCGCGAGCACGAGTGATTTCGCACAGTCTTCATTTCCCTATATTAATGATATTTTCTGAAAACGCTTTGCCATCATCATTCCTCGAATATCTTTATATCGGTGTGTTAGGTCCGACACACGTTGGCACATTTCCAACTTGCACATAATAACCACAATTCAATGAGTCGCAGACCAGAATAGTAAATAAGATAGAGAGAAGTATGTTAAAAATAGCCACAGTTCCAGTCGTCTGTGGGCGCTTGTGGATTGCACCTCCCAGGTGCGACGGCCGTTGTCCTCTTTGTGGCACTATTACCTCGCCACTCGCGATACTGTCTTACGTAATGGTTTTATTCCTTTTTTTACCCATATCTGCGGATACTTATCGATACAAAAGGCCAAATGTGCTAGTTGTGGCGGGTAGCCATCATATAACGCAAGATATTTGACAGATGCGTGAATCTCGCTTACGACATTTTCAAGATAAGCTCGCATATATACAAGTTCCGAACAACAACAATGGACCTTCGGTCTACCGGTGGAAGATTTTTCCTTTGTCGTATACCTACAACTGGGGGGAGGGTTAGTAGGTTAGGGTAGTAAAATCTTCAAGATATTATGCCGCCACATTAGTTAAGTAAAATCTTCAAGATATTATGTCTGTCGAATTAATCTATTGCGAAAGCTGTTTTCAGTTCATGTAATGAAATCTTTCGCATCACAATCATGTACAATGACCCCTATACTCATCATTGTAAAATTTAAGGCTTATCACAGTGTAAGTTTAAATATAATTTGTGTCGATTAGGTCATTGTCCTCCCAAGACTTTACTGCCTCCACGAACGACTTACCAAACATTGCAATCGACAAAACAGGATTCAGCGTGAAAGTGGACGTAATTTTAGGAGAAAGACTTTATATAGAATAACATTAAATACTGATTCGCGAAAACTTATTGAAAAATTTCCAAGAAAATCATCAACAACAACAACCAAGCAAAGATTGTTTAAGAATCATCTCATTAGTAATCTCTAGGCATAAAATATAATTAATTATGGTGCTATGATCTTTCTGGCATGTAACTATGTTCAAGTAAAGGTCAGTAAAATAGGTGTCGCTTACTTCATTATTTACTCCAACCGTAAGACATGTATTTTTAATAAAATTTTAGTTAAACTTAATTACTACGTTACTCAGTTCAAAAATCAAATATTTGCAGGAACAAAATTAAATATGTTTCATCCTTGTTATGGGGATAAACGAACTGCGCCACGTCACTTTACATAGTATATTTACATAACATAGTTTTACATTGCTAAAAGCTTGATACGTTTGTCTGTCTGTCTTATTAAGTCTTTCTAACTGGTCCATTGTCTTCAAACTCTTAGATAAACTTGGCCTAGTCTATGTAGAAAGCGGACAAGGTAAAAATATGCGTTAAATTAACGTTATCATGGAATGACCNATAAACGAACTGCGCCACGTCACTTTACATAGTATATTTACATAACATAGTTTTACATTGCTAAAAGCTTGATACGTTTGTCTGTCTGTCTTATTAAGTCTTTCTAACTGGTCCATTGTCTTCAAACTCTTAGATAAACTTGGCCTAGTCTATGTAGAAAGCGGACAAGGTAAAAATATGCGTTAAATTAACGTTATCATGGAATGACCATTACAGAAGAAAATTACAGCGAATTATATTGTCACGACGAATTGCTTGTGTAAACTACTAAAATACACAGCATTGATAGACCGTGTATGTCAACGCTTACGTATTATACACATTTCATGTCCCAAAATATGTATAACTGTAACTGCGAAATTGATACAAAAATAATATTCAGTTTAGTTATATAATTAAGCGAAGTTTCAGTGGGTAATGCCAATTATAATTGATTTTATAGCCACCTTATATAATTTTGAATGTGATATCATTAGATCTATATCTTTAGCGGGGCAACGCAATTAGCTACATTGTCTTGTATTTAGGTGTCTATCGTTATGAAATAGATGGTGTTAAATAATGAATGCTGTTAGTATTTGCAGCATAGTACTATGTACAGATATAGATCTAGTCTAGTTACTTTGGTTTACTTCATTCGCTCAAACAACATTTTGTGGATAGTTGAAGATCATTATTTTCAAATATTCACCAATGGAGTTCATTGTAGGGTAATTTGCGATCTTAATAGCGGAACGAATGTAAAAAAGCCTTAGTAGTATCAATACTAAGGTCAGTTACTTACACGCGTTGAGATTTGACCATGGTGTCAGGGCTGGTGAAACATTCGTTTATATCCCGTGAAGATTATAATATCTGGTTGTTCGTATGCATGTATCTAGGCCAACTTGTTTTATTTTTTCATTCTCAACACTTGAACGACTGTTTTTTTTTTTAACTTTTTTGTGTTTGTGTGTGTGCGTGTGTAATACAAAATGAATTCTCTCAATTCTGTTAATGTCGATCGGAATATCGAAAACATGCTATTTCCATAAAATACTATTGACTAAGTCAGAACTTTGTATGTGGTTATTTGTTTGGTAAGTTATGGTTTTAAAACAGACCCTCACCAGTCCCGAAAGATAAGCCTATTCTATGTTCGGGCGGGCAGTCACAACCAAAGGCTTTGGTGGCGTTTAGGTGGAAAAGTTTCTGATTTCCTGGTGGTAATTGAAGAAGTATGCGGACAGCGGACTTTGTCGTCTTATTGGGGCTCCGCTGTTCGTACGTGCGCGCTATTCACTTTCACTTCGCAGCGCGTGCTTTAACTATTGGACCCAAGTGGATGCCACTGTGG